CCCCCCCCCCCCCCCCTCCCTCTGCTGTTCGTCACCCCCCGTCGAACTAGGTGTTCGACAACCTCCGGCTGATGGTCAGTGACTACGGTCTCTTGTCCGTCAAGGCTGAAAACAACAATAACAACAACAACGCCCGGGTGGGTGGCAATGGGTCCAACCACCACCAGTTGCCGCCCGCGGGCTATTCTTCCCCCATGGCTGCTGCCGCTGCGGCGGCGGCGGTGGCGGCTGGGGTGGACGGGAGCGCCGGGCCGCCGCCCGTGGTGTCATCCGGCGGCCCGGGAGAGGAGTGCTGGATCGCGCCGGAGGTGTGCATCGACGGCGAGGAGCACTCGTACGAGTCGGACGTGTTCAGCTACGGGGGCGTGCTGTACGAGGTGGGTGGTGGCCGCGCGCGGCGCCGCGGGGGGGGAGGGATCGGTTCTTGCGCCTGTTTTCGTTGAGACAGCCGACAAGCTCTCTTTCGGTTGTTGTCTTCGGTGTCGGTGGTAGCGGTGGTCGTAGCGGCACAACCACGATAACATCCCCACAACCCACAACCACAAAAGTATCAATTCCTCTATCCACACACGACCACACGACAGCAACATCAACATCAACACCGCAACCACATATGTACACCCACACGACCACCGACTAAAACCAACAACAGCAACGATCCCTGGTATCCCCCCCGACACCCCCCATCGTTTTTCAGCTCTTAGCAGAAGAGCTCCTCCAAGCGGCACCTGGCGGAATCCTCCTCCCCGGCATGTCCGCGATGCAGCGGCAACCAGCGGTCTCGACATCGGCGAACGGTGGTGTTAGCTCTCCCTCCTCTCTCCGGGAGCGCCGCCGGGGGGAGCAAGGAGGATCGTCCGCTGCTGCTGCCGCCGCCGCTGCGGGCTGGGTCCCCCGGGTCCCCGCCGGAGTGGAGGCGCACCCCGGGCAGGTTCAGCTCATGCAGCGGTGTCTAAGGTGCGGTTTGGTGTCTTTTGTGTTTGTCTTCGTTGTTGTTATTAATAGCATCAACGGCGCTAATGATAATGAACACGAGGTCTGTCTCAGTGTGGTTATTTTTGTGTCGTTGTTTTGAACACCGACGCCGCTAACCGGCTAACCAATGAAAAGACGTCAGTCTTCGTGCGTCCGAAAAGAGAAAATATATGGCCTGATCTCATCTGGGATAGGGTGTGTTTATGTGTGTACCTATGTTCGTTGTTGTGAGCATCAACCGCGTAGCTGGCTATATGCCTCTCACGCCCCCCTCCCCCCCCACCCCCACCGGCTTTATTAGTTTCACGCCACACA